ACCTTTTCCCTCCAAAACCCAGAGCACGGCACAATATTCCCATAAAAATAATTCCCTAAATTGTGTCCCTGTTCTTCCAGCTGGAAAATGGGAACGACGCTCAGTTGGACATGGAATGAGAGCATGGAAAGGATCCCAGAGCATTCCATAAATTCCTGGGAATGCAACGACCTTTTCCCTCCAAAACCCAAAGAGCGGCACAATATTCCCAGAAAAACCGTTCCCGAAAATTTGTCCCTGTTTTTCGAGGTGGAAAATGGGAATGAGGCTCAGTTGGACATGGAATGAGAGCATGGAAAGGATCCCAGAGCATTCCAAAAATTCCTGGGAATGCAAAAACCTTTTCCCTCAAAACCCAGAGCACGGCACAATATTCCCAGAGGAATCATTCCCGAAATTTTGTCCCTGTTTTTCAAGTGGAAAAATGGGAATGATGCATGGAAAAGCTGGATCATGGGAATGACAATCGGTTGGACATGGAATGAGAGCATGGAAAGGATCCCAGAGCATTCCAAAAATTCCCGGGAATGCAACGACCTTTTCCCTCCAAAAACCAGAGCACGGCACAATATTCCCAGAGGAATCATTCCCGAAATTTTGTCCCTGTTTTTCAAGCTGGATCATGGGAATGACAATCGGTTTGACATGGAATGAGAGCATGGAAAGGATCCCAGAGCATTCCAAAAATTCCTGGGAATGTAACAACCTTTTCCCTCCAAAACCCAGAGCACGGCACAATATTCCCAGAAAAGTCATTCCCGAAATTGTGTCCCTGTTTTTCAAGTGGAAAAATGGGAATGAGGCTCAGTTTGACATGGAATGAGAGCATGGAAAGGATCCCAGAGAATTCCAAAAATTCCCGGGAATGCAACGACCTTTTCCCTCCAAAACCCAGAGCACGGCACAATATTCCCAGAGGAATCATTCCCAAAATTGTGTCCCTGTCACCTCCAAACCTTTGGGAATGACGCTCAGTTGGACATGGCATGAGAGCATGGAAAGCATCCCAGAGCATTCCAAAAATTCCCGGGAATGCAATGACCTTTTCCCTCAATAAACCAGAGCACTGCACAATATTCCCAGAAAAATAATTCCCTAAATTGTGTCCCTGTTTTTCAAGCTGGATCATGGGAATGAGGCTCAGTTGGACATGGAATGAGAGCATGGAAAGGATCCCAAAACATTCCAAAAATTCTCTGGAATGCAAAAACCTTTTCCCTCAAAACCCCAGAGCACGGCACAATATTCCCAGAGGAATCATTCCCGAAATTTTGTCCCTGTTTTTCAAGCTGGAAAATGGGAATGACGCTGAGTTTGAAACGGAATGAGAGCATGCAAAGGGTCCCAGAGCATTCCAAAAATTCCTGGGAACGTAACAACCTTTTCCCTCCAAAAACCAGAGCACGGCACGATATTCCCAGAGGAATCATTCCCGAAATTGTGTTCCTGTTTTTCAAGCGGAAAAATGGGAATGAGGCTCCGTTGGACATGGAATGAGAGCATGGAAAGGATCCCAGAGCATTCAAAAAATTCCTGGGAATGCAACGACCTTTTCCCTCCAAAACCCAAAGAGTGGCACAATATTCCCAGAAAAATCATTCCCGAAATTGTGTCCCTGTTCTTCGGGCTGGAAAACAGGAATGAGGCTCAGTTTGACATGGAATGAGAGGATGGAAAGGATCTCAGAGAATTCCAAAAATTCCCGGGAATGCAACAACCTTTTCCCTCAAAAACCCAGAGCACGGCACAATATTCCCAGAGGAATCATTCCCGAAATTTTGTCCCTGTTTTTCAAGCTGGATCATGGGAATGAGGCTCAGTTGGACATGGAATGAGAGCATGGAAAGGATCCCAGAGCATTCCAAAAATTCCCGGGAATGCAACGACCTTTTCCCTCCAAAACCCAGAGCACGGCACAATAGTCCCAGAAAAGTCATTCCCTAAATTGTGTCCCTGTTTTTCAAGCGGAAAAATGGGAATGACGCTCAGTTGGACATGGAATGAGAGCATGGAAAGGATCCCAAAACATTCCAAAAATTCCTGGGAATGCAACAACCTTTTCCCTCAATAAACCAGAGCACGGCACAATATTCCCAGAGGAATCATTCCCTGTCACCTCCAAATCTTTGGGAATGACGCTCAGTTTGACATGGAATGAGAGCATGGAAAGGATCCCAGAGCATTCCATAAATTCCTGGGAATGCAACGACCTTTTCCCTCCAAAACCTAAAGCACGGCCCAATATTCCCCGAAAAATCATTCCCAAAATTGTGTCCCTGTTTTTCAAGTGGAAAAATGGGAATGAGGCTCAGTTGGACATGGAATGAGAGCATGGAAAGGATCCCAGAGCATTCCAAAAATTCCCGGGAATGCAACGACCTTTTCCCTCCAAAACCCAAAGCACGGCACAATATTCCCAGAGGAATCATTCCCTGTCACCTCCAAATCTTTGGGAATGAGGCTCAGTTTGACATGGAATGGATGGAAAGGATGAAGTTCTTGTATCCATGGAAAAAAAAAAAAAGGGAACACCGAGCTCAATTCCCAAATTCCGGCTCCACGCAAATCCAACCTTTATCCACCAGAATCCACCCGGAGCGGGGGGAATTCCCGCCGGGAATTCCCCCCTGGCCGCACTTCCGAGTCCACCCGGTCCTTCTCCACGCGCAAAAATTCCTCCCGGGGCTGCTCCAGCCCGGAATTTTTTCCACCTTTTTCCCTCCCCCTCCCCCTCCCCACGAACGGAAACGTTTCCTACTTCGTTCCCGCAGCCGGGCCGGGCGGATTTCCCCGAGCTTCCCGAATTCCCGAGGCTCCGGAAGCTTCCAGGGCGAAGAACCGGCACTCGGCTCGGTCGTAGGCCGACTTGTGGAGCCACCCGGCTTCGCTGTCCCGGTGCAGGAAAAAACAGGCCGGGATACCCTCGGGAACGCCGGGAAGCGCCGGCTCGGCGCCGCTTCCCGATTGATTCCCGCCTTTCCGGTTCTTCTCCGGCGCTTTTTCCGGGACGTTCCCGGCGAACAGCCTCTCGTAGAAGCTCTTCTCGGCGGCGTCGTAGCGCGGCTTCTCCAGCCACACTTCCGACGCCAGCGCTTCCCGGTTGGAAAACGGCGGCTTGCCGTTCACCGGCGGCCGCTCGGCCGGAACGCCGCCGGCACAACCGGGAACGCCGGAGTCGGGAAGAAGCGGAGCCGGGCCGGGCGTGGCCGGCGTGGGAAGGGCGGTGCCGTAACCTTCGTCCGGCGTTCCCAGCCCGGAATTCCGGGCCGGGACGCTCAGGACGTCGGGAGGAAGGAAAAACCGGGATTTTTCCATGAACTTCCCCTCGGCTTTATCGAAATCCGGCTTGTTGAGCCAAACCCCTCGGACGACGTGGTGACAGGCGGCCAAATTCCCATGGCAGCACATTCCCTTGGCTTTGGGAATCTCCGGCCCGGCTTTGGCCCCGGGAGGCGCCGGGAATTCCTCCGGGATCCGCCGGCTCTCCGGCGCTTCCCCGCTCCGGGAATCCACGAGTTTTTTCCGGTAGACGCTCTCGGCCCGGTCGTACAAGGGCTTGTCGAACCACACGCGCTCGGCCGACATTCCCAAGAGGAATTCCAGCTGGGAATCGGCGCCGCTTTTGGCCCTGGGCGAGCGTTTCCTCTTCCGCTGCTTTTTGCCGTTCCGGGATTTCTTGAGGTCGCCCTTGGATTCCCCGTCCCCGGATTCCTCGGGGCAGATCCCGTTGATCTGGGAGCCGTCGGGAGCCTCCGGAGCCGCCGTTTCCCGCTCGGATTCCGGGGATTTGTGCTTTTCCGGCCAAACTTTGTCTCCCGGGCAGGGATTTTTCCGTGTCCTCATCTTCCCAAAAATTAAAAAAAAAAAACGGGAAAGCAGGGAAAGAACAAGCACAACAAATGTAGTGGCAGCAACGGGCAAAGCGGGAATTTTATCCGTTAAAATTCCTCAGGAAAAACCCATGGGATTCATTTTTCCCTCTTTTTTTGCTCGAAATCGGAATTCCGAGGGAGCCCAAACCACCTCCTTCCTGAGATATTCCCAATATTCCTCCCGGGATTTAAAACTCCAAATTTCCCGTTCGTATAAAAAAAAAAAAACCCGCCGGGATTTTGCGGAAATCCTCGGGAATTCCACAGGATGATTCCAAGTTTTAAGGGATCAGCTTAAAGAAGTTTTAAACCCCAAGTTTTAAACCCCGATTTTTAAACTCCAGTTTTTAAACTCCAGTTTTAAATCCCAGTTTCTAAACCCCAATTTTAAACCCCCACTTTTCAAACTCATTTTTTAAACTCCACTTTTTAAACTCCATTTTTTAAACTCATTTTTTAAACTCCATTTTTTAAACTCATTTTTTAAACTTATTTTTTAACTCATTATTAAACTCACTTTTTAAACTCCATTTTTTAAACTCCACTTTTTAAACTCAATTTTTAAACTCAATTTTTAAATTCATTTTTAAACTCATTTTTTAAACTCCACTTTTTAAACTTATTTTTAAACCCATTTTTTAAACTCCACTTTTTAAACTCCATTTTTTAAACTCCACTTTTTAAACTCCGCCTTTTAAACTCACTTTTTAAACTCATTTTTTAAACTCATTTTTTAAACCCCATTTTTTAAACTCCATTTTGTGAACTCCATTTTTTAAACCCCATTTTTAAACTCATTTTTAAACTCATTTTTTAAACTCATTTTTAAACTTATTTTTTAAACTCCATTTTTTAAACTCATTTTTTAAACTCCACTTTTTAAACTCCATTTTTTAAACTCATTTTTAGCCTCCATTTTTAGACTCATTTTTAAAACTCAATTTTTTACACTCATTTTTTAAACTCTTTTTTTAAACTCCACTTTTTAAACTCATTTTTTAAACTCATTTCTTATTTTTCTCCCTAAAAAAAAACCCCTAAAATTGGGGGTTTAATGTATTTAAAATATTTTCATATATTTATCATTTTAATATATTTTAAAATTATTTCCTATAATTTTTAATTAGGGCTGATTTTGCATAAACCCCCTGAAATATAAATTAAATAGAAATTAAATTAAAATAGAAATTAATATAAATATTTCCCATTAATATTTAAACATAAACCATAAAATATTTTTAATTAGAAGTTGGTTTGTCCAACCCCTTTAAAATAGAAATTAATAAAAATATATCCCATTAATATTTCAATAAATAGAAAATATTTATATATAAAAGATACATTTTAAAGAAATTATTAAATGTTTTAAATTACAAGTGATTCTATAAATACAAAATACAATTAATTAAAATATTAAAGAATCGATATTAAATATTACAAAAAATTAAAAATAAAATAAAAGCAAATTAATAAAATATTAATATAAAATAAGATTTCTAGAAATAGAAAATAAAAATTCATTTCTTATTTCCAGCTGATTTTTCCACCCAAAAAAACCCCCTAAAATTTGGGATTTGACACATTTTTAGATTATTTAATATTTTTAATTTTAAATTAATTTTAAATGTTAAATTATAATTTGAAATTAATTTTAATTTTTAATTACGGGTCATTTTGCCCAATCCTAAAATAGAAATTAATATTGAAATAAAGACAAAATATTTTTAATTATAATAATAATAACATTATTATTATTATATTTATTATTATTATATAAAATAACATTTCTAGAAATAGAAAATAAAAATTCATTTCTTATTTCCAGTTGATTTTTCCACCCCCCAAAAAAAAAACCCTAAAATTTGGGATTTGACACATTTTTAAAATTATTATTAAATTATTATAAAAAATTAAATAATTAAAATATTAAATTAATATAGTTTTTATTTAGAGGTCATTTTGCATAACCCTAAAAATAGAAATTAATACCGAAATAAATAGAAAATATTTTTAATAACAATAATAATAATAATAATAATAATAATAGAAAATACCATTTTTAAAAATAGGAAATAAAAATTCCTTTCTTATTTCCAGCTGATTTTTCCACCCCAAAAAACCCCTTTAAAATTCCTTCATTCCAAGAAATTCAGGAATATTCCCTCCCATAAATATCCCACCAAAAATTCCTTCATTCCGAGAAATTCAGGAATATTTCCTCCCACAAATATCCCATCAAAAATTCCTTCATTCCAAGAAATTCAGGAATATTTCCTTCCATAAATATCCCACCAAAAATTCCTTAATTCCGAGAAATTCAGGAATATTTCAGCCCATAAATATCCCGCCAAAAATTCCTTAATTCCAAGAAATTCCCCAATATTTCCTCCCATAAATATCCCACCAAAAATTCCTTCATTCCCAGAAATCCAGGAATATTTCCTCCCACAAATATCCCACCAAAAATTCCTTCATTCCGAGAAATTCAGGAATATTTCCTCCCACAAATATCCCACCAAAAATTCCTTCATTCCCAGAAATCCAGGAATATTTCCTCCCACAAATATCCCACCAAAAATTCCTTCATTCCGAGAAATTCAGGAATATTTCCTCCCACAAATATCCCACCAAAAATTCCTTCATTCCAAGAAATCCAGGAATATTCCAGCCAATAAATATCCCTCCAAAAATTCCTTAATTCCGAGAAATTCAGGAATATTTCCTCCCACAAATATCCCACCAAAAATT